TGAAGTAAGGGGGGCTCGTACGTGGCTGACTTCTTGGCTCAGACTCTGCACATGGCAGCTTGGAAAACATGCCGGGTGCCTGTATGAGTGTCCCCCAAATCCCGACGGGGTATATGGAGGAGAAGGGATTGTGGAGTGACCATGCCTCATGGGGAGAGGGTGCATCCTCTCTCCCCTTCTCTGCTTCTATGTCCCTGGAAGGCATATGTGCCCTCTGGCAAAATTTAAAAAGGAAAAGAGAAAGGAAAAGAAAGAAAGAGATTGAAAAGAAAGAAGGAATGGGGCACATGGCCTGGAGGTTGGGGCATTGGATTCCCACATGGCCGACTGCAGTTCGAGTCCCGGAACTGGCAGCTTGCTTTCTCTCTCTCTCTGTCTCTCTCTCGTCAGACTGAATAATAATAAATAAAATTAATAAAGAATTTTTAAAAAGAAAGAAGGAAAGAAAGAGAAGGGAGGGAGGGAAGGAAGGAAGGAAGGAAGAAAGAAAGAGAAGGGCCAGCAGGTGGCATGGTGGTTAAGGGCACTGGACTCCCCCATGGGCGACTGTAGTTCAAGTCCTGGACCTGGTGGTTTGCTTTTTCACTTTACCTCTCTCTTTTACTCTGTCCCTTTCTGGTCAAATTAAAAATAAATACAAAGTTAAATTAAAAAAAAAGAGAGAGAGAGAGAGAGAGAGACGAAAGCTAAAGAAGAGTAGAAATGTATTTTCCCAAAATTCCAGAGGCTGGAAGTGTGAGCTCGAGGTCCCCGGGCTTGGCTCCTCCTGGGGCGTCTCCTGGCTTGGACATGCCTCTGTCACCTGCACAGTCTTTCTTCTGTGCGTGTCTGTGGCCTTATCTCTTTTTATGAAGACCTCGGTCATTTCGGGTCAGAGTCCACCCTGACGGCCTTGTCTTAACGTACTCGGCTAGATGCTTGTCTCGGGTATGTTATCTTCACAGGCACAGGCGAGCTGAGAGGTCAGCATGCACGTGGGGGGACACAGCTCAGCCCAGGGCCTGGGCAGATGGGGGCTGTGTCAGAGCGGGGACTTAGAGGAGGAGCCAGAGCCCCTCAAGATTGAGACCCCAGAGGGAGAGCTGGTAGGTCACTCCTGGGCCCTGACTCGTCTTCTCCCGTGTCCTGCCTTCTCCCCTGTGGTCCGCAGGCCATCTGGACCCGCTTTTTTCCTGCTCTGGAGGCTCTGAGGTCGCTTTTGGCCCAGGGAGCTCTCGGGGACCTTCGGGTGGCTCACGCAGAATTTGGAAAGGACCTCACCCATGTCCCACGGGCCGTAGACTGGGCCCAGGCCGGCGGTGGCCTGCTGGACATCGGCATCTACTGCATCCAGTTCATCTCCATGGTCTTCGGTGGGCAGAAGCCAGAGAAGGTTCTGGCCGTGGGGAGGCGCCATGAAACAGGTACGGTCTGTGCTGGACCCCTGGAAGGGGGAGAAGGACCCCTGTCTCCCTGGGGGCACTGGGCTGGGAACAAGCCTCCTGGCCCTCAGACTCAGCTCAGACACCTGGAGGAACTTCCCACACGAAGCTGGAGAACGTCGGGGTCGAGAGTAGGCGCAGGCCTTGTGCTGGGGTTTGCTGTGTTCTTAGCCGGGAAACAGCACTGGCCAGTCCGATCTCCCTGGTAAAATGTCAGTAACGGGGTCGTCATGGCAGTTGATCAAGTAACTGTTGAGGCTAATGGTATGCAGTTACCAAACACTAGGTTGTCGGGGCTGGCAGGTGGCCTGGTGGTTAAGGGCTCCAGACTCCCACATTGCCAACTTTGGCTCGAGTGCTGGAACTGGTGTCTTCCTTTCTCACTTTCCCCCTCTTGCTCTGTCCCTCTCTAGTCATGTTAAAATAAATAAATAAAGTTAAATAAAATAATTTTTTTTTTCTGGAGAAGTTTTTGCTGTAGGGCGTGTGTGCTCACCAGAGAGACAGAGAGACAGAAAGCAAGAAATCACCCTCTAGGAGTGATGGCCACGCTGCAACCCCTTCTCCATTCTCCTCTCAGGATCTTGGGCACTCACACACACACGCCCGGCGTGAGTTTAAGCCACCAGGTCTAGGCCTTGAACCACAGTTGACTACATGGGAGCCCAGTGACGTAGCCATTATGCCACCTGCTGATCTCTCATTCATTTATTTGAATTTGACCAGAAAAGGACAGAGCAAGAGAGAGAAAATGAGAAAGCAAACTGCCAGGTCCAGGACTCGAACCGTGGTCAATCATGTGGGAGTCCAGCTCCCTTAATTATCACACCACCTGCTGGCCCTAAATAAAATAATTCTTAAAAGAAACAAAAAACAAACTGGGTTGTTGGAAGTCGTGACACTTTTTGTTTAGAGGATTTTGCCATAAGCACTCAGCAGAGTCAAAAACAGTGAGAGGGAAGGTAAGAAATCACCCCCCACTCAGGGATGGCCACGCCACAGTCTCTCCTCCTCCTGACATCTTGGACGTGCACACACAAGTTCCCAGAATGACTTTCAAGCCACTGGGTCCAGGACTTGAACCGTGGTCACCCATGTGAATCCAGCAACATAACCATTATGCCATCTGCAGGCCCCCATGATGCATTTTTGCATAGAAAAACAGAAAAATATATCATGATTTTTCTTTTTTCTTTAATTTTTTTTATATATACATGACAACCCAATATAAACATACATTTATTTATTTATTTATTTAGGAGAAGTTTTTGCTATAGGGCATATGTGCTCGCCAGAAAGAGAGAAAGAGACAGAAAGCAAGAAATCACCCCCTGGAGGGATGGCCACTCTGCAATCCCTTCTCCTCCACTCTCTGAGTTCTCGGGATCTTGGGCACGCACATACGCCCGGCATGAGTTTAAGCCACTGGGTCCGGTACTCGAACTGCGGTCATGTACATGGGAGTCCAGTGACATAGCCATTATGCCAACTGCTGATCCCTAAACAATTAAACTGCTTTTCACTTAATACTTTAAATATATTTCCCCTTTTCTTGCTCACATTGTTTCCGATGAGAAGTCTGATGTTAGCCTGATGGGATATCCTTTATAAATAACCTGATGTTTCTCTCTTGCCAATTTTAGTATCTTGTCTTTGTCTGTGCATTTGGCCGGTCTGGCTATGATGTGCCTTGTAGAAGATCTTCTTGGGTTGATTCTATTAGGGGTCCTTTGTATTTCTTGGGTCAAGATATTTGAGTGCCTCTCTAGGTTTGGAAACTTTTCTTCCAGGATTTCATGTAATAGATTATCAATACCCTGATTAGTTTCTTCACCTTGTGGGATACCAATTACCCAGATGTTTGGACACTTAATGGTATCTAGTATTTCTCATATAATATTCTTTGTTTGTTTGTTTTTGTTATTTTCTCAGTTTTTTGGTTGTTTTTTCTAGGTCAGAGTTTTTACCTTCAATACCCGAGATTCAATCTTCTGCATGGACTAATCTGCTTTTAAGAATTTCGAGGGAGGTTTTTTTTTGTTTGTTTGTTTGTTTGTTTTGGTTTTTTTGAGAGGTTTTTGCTATAGGGTGCGTGCGCTCACCAGACAGACAGAGACATAGAGACAGAAAGCGAGAAATCACCCCCCAGAGGGGATGGTCACGCCGCAATCCCTTCTCCTCCATTCTCCTCTCGGGATCTTAGGCATGCACGCACATGCGCCTGGCGTGAGTTTTAAGCCACCGGGTCCGGGACGTGAACCGCGGTCGACTACGTGGGAGTCCAGCGACATAGCCATTACGCTAACTGCTGGTTCCCTCGAGGGAGGTTTTGATTTCCTGTATTGCAGCCTTCATCTCTAACAGCTCTGTATGATTGCTTTTTATGGTGTGTAGTTCCTCTTTCAGATTGTGCAAGAACTTCCTCACCTCCTGGAACTCGTTGTCTTTTTTTTCTTTTTCTTTTCTTCTGCATCTTCTGGAGTTCATTATCTCTCACCTCTTGCATCTCATTTAGTTTTGTCACTATGAATATTCTGAATTCTCTATCAGGTATTTCCACGAGTTCCACTGTACTGTCTGTGGATGGCGAAGGATTGTTCTTTTCACTTATGGGAGATATATTTCCTTGGTTTCTCATATTTCTTGTGCCTTTGCAGTGGTTCCTGGTCATTCTGTGACAAAATCTCTTCTCTACTATATTTTGCAATGTGGTATCCACACAAAGAAAGTATGAGTTCAGATATATAAAAAGAAGTTTGTCTTTAAAGCAGGAAGTTCAATAAGCATTGAGGTTTTTGTTGTTTTGTTTTGTTTTTAGAGAGGTTTTTGCTATAGGGCGCATGCACTTGTCAGAAAGAGAGATAGACAGAAAGCGAGAAATCACCCCCCAGGGGGATGGCCACGCCGCAATCCCTTCTCCTCCATTCTCCTCTCAGGATCTTGGGCAGGCACGCAACACGCCTGGTGTGAGTTTAAGTCACCGGATCCGGGATGCAAACCAGAGTTGACTACATGGGAGTCCAATGACATAGCCGTTACGCCATCTGCTGGTCCTGCATTGAGGATTTTAATAACCCTAAAAGTATTCAGATGATTGGCCACTGTGCACCTAGGCCTGTCTAGACACTCCCTTTTCTGTTTCAGGAGTTTAGAAGATGAGGTTTAGCGCATAACTAGTCGCCTTGGTCCCAGGACACCAATAAAGTAATTTAAAAAAAAAAGTTGGGGGACCAGCAGTTGGCGTAATAGCTATGTTGCTGGACTCCCATGTAGTTGACTGCGGTTCGCGTCCCGGACCCAGTGGCTTAAATTCACGCTGGGTGCGTGTGGCCCGAGATCCCGAGAGGAGAATGAAGGAGAAGGTATTGTGGTGTGGCCATCCCCCCTGGGGGGTGATTTCTTGCTTTCTATCTCTCTCTTTCTGGTGAGTGCACGCACCCTATAGTGAAAACCTTTCCCCCCCAAAAAAAAGCTAGGTAAAATCGTTTTATAATCTAAATGATGTATAGTGAGTGAATGATTAAATAATAATAAATATTAATAATAAAAGTAAAAAACAGGGCCAACCCCATGGCCTGGCCCTTGAGGGAGGTAGATTCCCAATGGCTAACTACGTGGCTCTAGTTCAGGACCTGATGGCTTGAAAAGCACACACAGTGGGGGGCAACAAGTGGCATGGTCCAGGGCCCCCACTCAGTGGGGTTAGCCCATGGAGGCACGGCCACCATGTGGGATCCAGCTTCTCTGGAGCAGCTTAGTGCTACTGGACTACAGAGCTGGCCTGACTGTTTTTTCTAAATTTATTTCTTGTCATCAGAGAGAAAGAGGCAGAGGGACAAAGCTCCCACCCGGGTCTCACATCATGGTCCGCAGCCTTTCCAGCCAGCAGGACGACTGGGGCTACACATGGAATGTACAGGTCACCAAGGACCCAAAACCACCATTTAAAAAAAATGATTTACTGGAGCCAGCAGGTGGTGTAGTGGTTACGTTGCTAGACTCCCCATGGCCAACCACGGTTCAAGTCTCAGACCCAGAGGCTTGAAACTCATGCTGGGTGCACATGTGTGCGTGTCCATAATCCTGAGAGGAGAATGGAGGAGAAGAGATTGTGACATGGCCATCCTCTCTTGGGAGTGATTTCTCACTTTCTTCTCTCTCTCTCTTTTTAAAGAGATTTTCGCTATAGGGTTCATGCACTTGCCAGAGAGATGGACAGAAAGCGAGAAATTACCGCCCCCCCTAAGGGGATGGCCAGGCCACAATCCCTTCTCCTCCATTCTCCTCTCAGGATCCTGGGCACACACACACTCATGCCTGGTATGCGTTTTTGTTTTATTTAAGAGGTTTTTGCTATAGGGTGCATGCACTCACCAGAAAGACAGAGACAGAGAGACAGAAAATGAGAAATCACCCCCCAAGGGGGATGGCCACGCCACAATTCCTTCTCCTCCATTCTCCTCTTGGGATCTTGGGCACACATGCACATGTGTCCAGTATAAGTTTAAGCCATGGGGTCCAGGACACGAACCGCAGTTGACTACATGGGAGTCCAGCAACATCGCCATTACGCCAACTGCTGGTCCCCCTGGCATGAGTTTTAAGCTGCCATGTCTGGGACTTGAACTGTGGTGGGTCGTGTGGGAGTCCAGAGCCTCAACCACCATGCAACCCGCCAGCCCTAAGGATATTTAAAGAGTTGTGCATCCATCATTTTCTTTCCTTTTCAGTATATTTGTTTTATTCATGATGAAGCGCGTGTGTGCACGTATAAGGGGGTAGATGGGGGAGAGGGACAGGCATACTCCACAGGGTCTGGTGGCCCGCCACCTCTTTCTTCCAGCTTGTTAGCACCTCGGCACCTCCACACACTCCCACCGCATTCCAGTCACCTGGGCGTCAGAGCCACAGTCGGCATGTGGCTTCTAGTGGTGCAGTTCAGTAGGCTCCGCCAGCGGCTGGGGCCACCATGGCTGCTGTTAGAGCCCCATTGTGTGCTGCCAGAAAACTCCTCAGACCTGAGCTCGAACTCCCTCCGTATCCCGTCTCCTACAGCAATCAGGGTCTGCAGACTTGCCCCTCGCAGGCGTGGCACGTGATGGTGTCCTGCACTATGTGGCCCTGGGGTGGGCTCTTTCACCTCGCAGGGTGTTGCGGGGTGTTTCCAGCATTCACCTGCTTCGTTCCTGTCATGCTGTAGAAGACTGAGGTCTCTCCCAGGGTGCACAGACAGGATTCGAGGCCTGTGCTCTGAGCCGAGGCCCAGCCCTGACTCGTGACTTCTCCCCAGGCGTAGACGACACTGTCACTGTGCTACTCCAGTACCCTGGAGGGGTCCATGGCAGCTTCACCTGCAGCATCACTGCCCAGCTCTCCAACACGGCCTCCGTGAGCGGGACCAAGGGTATGGCGAAGGTGAGGAGCGGCGGGCCTAGGGGCGGGGCCAGGGCCCCTGGCAGTAGGAGGGGTCTGTAGTGGCTCCTGGAGCTTGGCCTGTACTGCCTTTTCTGTTTTATTTATTTATTTTTTAAAAAATTATTTATTTAATTGTATTTACTTTTTTTTTTTTTTTTTTTTTTTTGAGAGAGATTTTCATTAACGGGTGCGTGCCTCTCCGAACCGCGGTCGACTACGTGGGAGTCCAGCGACATAGCCATTACGCTAACTGCTGGTTCCCTCATTTTTTAGATAATTATTTTATTTAACTTTATTTTTTAATTTGACCAGAGAGGGACAGAAAGAGCCATGTGAGAGTCCAGCATCCTTAACCCCCCCACCCCACTTATTCTTTTTTAAAATTTGACCAGAGAGAGAGAGAGAGAAAGCCACCAAGTCCGGGACTCAAACCGTGCTCAGACATGTGGGAGTGTCCGTGCCTTAGCTGCCATGCCACCTGCTGGTCCCATTTCTGTTTTATTGATAATCACCAGAGGGTGCACGGGCACGCCAGAGAGACAAAGAGGGAGGGATAGTGAGAAAGCATCCCCCCGGTCATGCGGCAACCCCTTCTCCTCCATGTCTCCATCATGGTGGGGCGTGGGTGTGCCCTCATATGCCCCGATATCTTTCAAGCCTCCGGGCTGGGTTCCAACTGCAGTTGGCCATGTGGGATCTGGCTCCCTAGGCCATAGGGTCAGCTCAACCTGCCATTTTTCAAACTAGTGCAAAAGAATGACCACGCCCAGTCCAGGGAAGGATTGCGGCTTCTGGGCTCCCTCCTGGGGACCTAGTGGCCTGTCATATCTTAGGCCTGAGTTCTTATCAACCACAGTTACAGGGCGGGTGTGACCTTTGTCATTGCTTCCAGGGCAGTATCTGGGTGTGGCCAAGGGCAGCCTCACGGGCCCCTTGCCAGGAAGAAATCTCATTCTTAGCATGCAGACTGCAGAAGAGCGGGCCCTGCCCTGGGTTAAAGGTCTTCTTTTCCCACGAGGAATCAGGCTGAGCCTCTCTTTTTCCATTTTGGTGTAGACTTGGGAGTGAGGACAGTTTGGGCCTCCGGGGACTCCGGGTCTAGGCAACAGGCTTCCTAGGGCATGAGGTTCTGGATCTTCTGAGCAACCTTCTTGCAAAGGGGATGCACAAGGCACAGAGCTGGGCCCTCTTCACTGTGCCCAAGGAACACCTGCCCACAAGCGTGAGGTTGGAGAGGTTTGCTCCTGGAGAGACACACAGGCCGTGAGCGTGACAGCAGTGTGGATAAGGAACACAGCCCAACAACTGGGAGGAAGGGAGGGCCCGAAGCTCCTGGGGATGGCTGGGAGGGAGGTCCTGGGTGTCACCCAGCATGCTCCAGGGAGTCCCTAAGAACCTTCGGAGAGGACAGCAGGGGCTACTTGTCATCTCCCCAGATCCTCGACCCCTGCTGGTGCCCAACGGAGCTGGTTGTGAAGGGCGAGCATAAGGACTTCCCGCTGCCCCCAAGCCCATACGAGTACAATTTTACAAACGGGGCAGGCATGGTTTACGAGGCCAAGCACGTCCGAGAGTGCCTGCGCAAGGGTAAGGATGTGGGGACCAGGGGGTGGGGACCAGGCCTGGTCTGGGGGCTGAGGGCCTTCCCTAACCCCTCGGTTTGTCCAGTAGCTGTTTAAAACTACACTGCCCAGGATCCCCTGGGGCACCTGTGTATCTGAACCAGGCATTACACCGCCTCATGGAATTCTGGGAACTGTAGTTCTCTTGGTCTCTCCAGTGTGGGTAGACCTCCCTAACTCTGTTCTCCCCGCCAGGCCTGAAGGAAAGTCCCGTGATCCCTTTGGCAGAAACTGAGCTCCTGGCTGACATTCTGGAGGAGGTGAGGAAGGCCATTGGAGTCACTTTCCCCCAAGACAAACACTGATTTGTGCCCGAGTAAATAAAGACATGGTGTCCAGAGAGCCTAAGTCTTGTGCTGATGGTCTGGCAGGAGCTGCCGTGCCCACCCTGAGGGGTTCCTGGAGAATAATTTACGTGGGACGATGGGGTGGCGAGGGGCTGCGGTGGGACACGCTTCTCACAAGCTCCAGGGGCGTCTTCTCAAGCCCTCGTGGCCTCAGATTTTTGCAACACTACCTGGTTTCTTCCCTCGGAAATCGCTGTCCTGGGCTCCTGAAAGCAGCCCAGCCGTCATTCTCGTTGCTCTGTCCTGAGTTGCCTGTCCTTGAGTTCAACTCCCTGGGTCGGGCTGTGCCTCTGTAAGTGAACAGGAACAACTCAGCGCAGCCAGGAACCGGAACCGGAACCGAGGGGAACTGCACCCTCCAGGGCACGCTGGCGTCAGGCCAGGCCGGCCTCTGTCTCCTTCACACCCCCCGGCACTGGCCCGCAGGTCTCAGGCGCTGGCTGAGAGTAGATATGGACACTCGTGAGCTGGAGGGGACATGTGTGGGCAGCGGAGCCTCCACTACACCCGCAGCCTCTCTGCCTTTGTGTGGCAGAGAAGGTACATGGTCTCTCTCTTTTTTCTTTTTATTTTGGAGAGGTTTTCTCTATAGGGCGTGTGCATTCGCCAGACAGACAGAGAAACAGAAAACGAGAAATCACCCTCCAGGGGGGATGGCCATGTACAATCCCTTCTCTGCCATTCTCCTCTCGGGATCTGAGTTTAAGCTACTGGGTCTGGGACTCAAACCACGGTCGACTACATGGGAGTCCAGTGACATAGCCATTATGCTAACATGTTCTCTCTCTCTTTCTCTTTTTTTTTTTTTTTTTTTTTGAGAGGTTTTTGATATAGGGCGCGTGCGCTAGCCAGACAGACAGAGGCAGGGAGGCAGAGAGACAGAAAGTGAGAAATCACCCCCCAGGGGGGATGGCCACACTGCAATCCCTCCTCCATTGTCCTCTCGGGATCTTGGGCACGCAGGCACATGCGCCCGGCATGAATTTCAAGCCACTGGGTCCGGGACGCGAACTGTGGTCGACTACGTGGGAGTCCAGCAACATAGCCATTAGGCTAATTACTGGTTCCCCGTGTTCTCTCTCTTAATAACCATTTGTATATGATAGAGACGTTGCCATTGGACACAAGACTCGCAACTAAAGACTACACTTCCCAGTCTCCTTTGCAACTAGGTCTTCCTATGAGATCTGGTGTAGCCAATGGGCCGTGTGCAGCCCGAGTCACAGCCTTCCATGAAACGGAGGAAGGGCGAGCTCTGCCTGGGCAGTGGGAATGTGCTGCTCAAGAGAAGCGGGGTCCTACATGGCCACCATGGTTCAGATCCCTGGCTCCCCCATTTATTACTATGAACAATAAAATAAAATTACTTAAACAAAAGTGAAGAGGAAGATGGCTTCCCTTCGCACTGGCAAGTCCATTTCAACACTCTGACCTGGAAGCCATGTGTTGGGGAAAGTGGAGCAACAACCTAGAAGGACAGGAAAGAAGGAATGCTGGGTCACTATATTAAAGTTTTCTCTTTTTTTTCTTTTTAAATTTAATTTTTAAAGAATTATTTTATTTTAATTAATTAATTTTTAAAGAATTATTTACTTAACTTTATTTATTAATTTATTTTTAATCTGACTAGAGAGAGAGAGAAGGTGAGAAAGCAAGCCACCAGGTCCGGGACTTGAACTGTGGTTGGCCATGTGGCAGTGTCCAGTGCCTTAACCACCACACCACCCACTGGTGTTTATGTTTTATTTTTTTTAATTTGGCCAGAGAGGGACAGAGTGAGAGCAAGAGGGAAACAGAAAGCAAGCCGCCAGGTCCAGGACTCAAACCATGGTCAGCCATGTGGGAGTCCAGCACCCTTAACCACCACACAACCTGCTGGCCCCTATATTAGAGTTTTCAAGAAAAACAGAACCAACAGGATCTATCTATATCTATATCTATCTCTATCTGTGTGTCTCTCCATCTCCCTCTGGCAGTGCATATTGCATATATCCTCTGACAACTACTAAAAAAAAAAGAGAGGCCCAATCAGACGCCACGCGCTTGGCTGCCTTGCTGTTTCAGCCCCAGCCACTGTCTGAAAACATGCGTGATCCTACATCAGAACCGCCCAGCTGAGCCCTTTCCAGTTTCACTGCCCACAGGCCTGTGAGAGAATAAAATGACTGCTGCTGTTTAAGCGACTAAATTCTGTTGTGCTTTGTTACACAGTGCCGTGATCTGACTGTTTGTGTCCCCCTAGAATTCATATGTTGAAATCTTATCCCCAGTGCAATAGTATTAAAAGGTGGGGCCTCGGGACCAGCAGTTAGCATAATGGCTATGTCGCTGAATTCCCATGTAGCCAACCACGATTCGAGTCCCGGACCCGGTGGTTTAAACTCACACTGCACACGTGTGCGTGTGTGCCCAAGATCCCAAGAGGAGAATGGAGAAGAAGGGATTGCAGTGTGGCCATCCCCCCCGGCGGTGATTTCTCACTTTCTATCTCTCTGTCTCTCTGGTGAGTGCACATGCCCAATAGCAAAATCCTTTCAAAAAAAAAAAAAAGGTGGGGCCTTGGGGCCAGCAGATGGCATGATGGTTACGTTGCTGGACTCGCACATGGCCTACTGCCATGAGTCCTGGACCTAATGGCTTCAAACTTACGCCAGGTATGTGTGCATGCATGCCGAAAATCCCAAGAGGCGAATGGAGGAAAAAGGACTGTGGTATGGCCATCCTCCTGGGGAATGATTTCTTACTTTCTGTCTCTCTCGGTCTCTCTCTCCCCCCAGTGAGTGCATGTGCCCTATAGTGAAAATATCTCTCAACGGAAAAAAATAAAAGAGGTGAGGCCTTGCGGAAGTGATTGGGTCATGGGGGGGGCTCTCATGAATGGCAACTAGTGCCCTTATAGAAGAGACCTACAGGAGCGCCTTAACCGCCTTGCCACCTGCTGGCCCACTTTTAAATATCTACTAACTCAATGTCTCTTTGTTGGAGGAGCTGGGTTTTATTGTTGTTGTTGTTGTTGTTGTTTTTTGGTAGAGGTTTTTACCTTAGGGCATGTGCACTCACCAGAGGGAGAGAGACAGAGACCGCGAGAGAGAAAATGACAAATCACCCCCCTGGGGGGATGGCCACACCACAATCTCTTCTCCTCTTGGGATCTTGGGCACGTGCACGCACACACACACACACACACACACACACACACCAGCACCCAGCGTGAGTTTTAAGCCACTGGGTCTGGGACTCAAACCAGTCAGCCATGTAGGAGTCCGGTGGCGTAACCCCTACACCATCTGCTGCCCCCCCTTAATCCCAGATGGTGTAGGCAATGAGAGAAAGAGAGCCCCCAACAGGGCCCGTTCACACTGCAATCATTTTCTTTCATTTTTCCATCCCGTCAGGATCTTGGGCATGCACACGCATATCTAGTGTTTTTTCAAGCCACCAGGTCTAGGACTCGAACCCTGCTGATTATGTCAGATCCAGCTTCCTCTCACAGTGCTAACAGCTGCTTCCCTATTAAATGGGTCTTTTTAATTTTTTGGGAGAAGTTTTTGCTATACTCACCAGAAAGACAGAGAGAGACAGAGAGACAGAAAGCGAGAAATCACCCCCCAGGGGGGATGGCCACACTGCAATCCCTTCTCCTCCATTCTCTTCTCAGGATCTTGGGCACGCACACACACACACGCCTGGCGTAAGTTTTAAGCCACCGGGTCCAGGACTTGAACTGCGGTCGACTACATGGGAGTCCAGCGACATAGCCATTACACCAACTGCTGATCCCAAAATCCTTGAAGTTTCAGGGCCGGCAGGTAGCGTGGTGGTTAAGGGCACTGGACTCCCACATGGCCAATTGTGGTTTGAGTCCTGGTGCTGGTGGCTTGCTTTCTCACTTTTCCTCTGTCTCCCTTTCCCTATCTGGTCAAATTAAAGTGGATGAATAAAGAAATAAATTTAAATAAAAAATAGTTCTTTAACAAAACAATATCATGCAGGTTTTCTTTCCTACTACAATTTCCCATAAACTTTTTTCTTAATTACCAAAGGGCACGTGCACTCAGCAAAGAGAAAGACAGGAGAGCGAAAGCACCTCCCCCAGTGGTGCGGTCTTGCCGAAACCTCCCTCAGTTTCTCCATCCATCTTGATTTAGGCATGCACGCATATGCCCAGGCACCTGCCAAGGCTGGCATTCAAAGTGCTATCAGCCATGTGGGTTCTGGTTTCTCACCACAGTGCTTACCCACTTTACCCACTGCACTATGGCACTGCACTGCCCCTCATGAGTGTTTTGAAAACCTCTTGTATCTCCTTCCCCTTTGAAAATAGTAAATTCTAGTAGCTGTGTTGCCTTTTTAAAATTTATTTATTATTAATATCATTGTTGTTATTATTTTAACTTCGTATAGGGCACATGCACGAAAGAGAGAGAGAGTGAGAAAGCAAGGTGCCGTGTCTGGGATCGAACTGCAGTCAACCATGTGGGAGGCCGGCACCCTACCCACCACGCCACCTATTGGCCCCTAGATGCGTTGTCTTATAATAATGCGTACAGAGGTTTACTATTGCCAGTGAATGACAGAGGACCAGAGGCTGGCGAGCAGCAAGGTCAGCTCCAGGTATAGAAAGACCCCGTTTGAGGCTGCGTGGGCAATGGGCTGGAGGGGAAGGACTGGAGGCTAAGAAGCCAGGCCCTCTGAGTGGGTCTGAGTAAGACACCCTAGTGCAAATGACAAGTCATCAAGCTGAAGACCTGAGACTACCCATGAAAACGCCTGTGCAACCCGATCTAGTCCTCTCTGGGCTTCAGTTTCCTCATCTGTAAAGACACCATAATTATCCTAAGTGTATTAGCTACCTATTGGTGTGTAACAAATTGTCCCCAAATTTAGCAGTTTAAAACATCAGCAAACCAACCGACCAATAAGAACACCAATAAACAGGGCCAGCACAGGTAGCATGGCGGGTAAAGTGCTGAACCCCATGTGGCTGACTCCGCAGTTCGGGTCTGGAACCACAGTTGGCCAAGTGGGAATCTAGCACCTTAACCATCATGCCACCTGCCAGCCCATTCTTATTTTATTACTATCTTTTAATTTGGTACAGAACACATGTGCTCACCAGAGAGAGAGAGAGACAGAGAGAGAGAAAGCAAACCAGGGCCAGGACTCGAACTGTAGTCAACATATGGGAGCCTATATCCCAACCATCATCACACCACCTGCTGACTCCTCAGTGAATTTTGAATATGGTTTGTACCCATGTAACCTACATCCAGATCAAGATACAACATACTTGGCACCCTGGAATCCTAGCCCTTCCCGGTCCATACCTGACTGAAACTTTAGTTTTTTCTACCTTCTCAACTTGTTCTTTTTAACAGGGATTTTTGCTAAGAGCGCGTGTGCTTGCCAGAGACACAGAGAGAGATAGAAAGCGAGAAATCACCCTCCAGCGGAATGGCCATGTGACATTCCCTTCTTCATTCTCCTCTCAGGATTTTGGACACACATGCACATACACCCAGTGCCAGTTTTACGCACTGGGTCCAGCCGCTGGGTCCAGGACTAGGACGTCGTCAAGGTCCGGTGGAGTCCAACGACGTAACTAACCATTATGCCATCTGCTGGTCCCATTTTTTTTCCTTTTTTTTTCTTTGGAGAGGTTTTTTGCTATAGGGCGCGTGCACTCGCCAAAAAGAGAGAGTCGGGACCAGCAGTTAGCGTAATGGCTATGTCGCTGGACTCCCATGTAGTCGACTGCGGTTCGAATCCCGGGCCTGGTGGCTTAAACTGACGCTGGGCACATGTGCGCGTGTGCCCAAGACCCCAAGAGGAGAACGGAGGAGAAGGGATTGCAGTGTGGTCATCCCCCCTGGGGGCTGATTTCTCACTTTCTGGCTCTCTGTCTCTCTGTCTGTTTGGCGAGTGCATGTGCCCTATAGCAAAAACCTTTCCAAAATAAAAAAGAAAGGCAGAGACATAGAAAGCGAGAAATCATCCCCCAAGGGGGATGGTCACACTGCAGTTCATTCTCCTTTCTCCTCTCGGGATCTTGGGCATGCACGCACATGCACCCAGTGTCAGTTTAAGCCACCAGGCCCGGGACTCTAACCGCGGTTGAGTACATGGGAGTCCAGCGACATAGCCGTTAGGCTAACTACTGGCCCCTGTCTTTTTCTTCTAAGGGAGAGGGTTTTTTTTGTTTTGTTTTTTTGGGGTTTTTTTGAGGGAGAGATTTCTGTCCAGCTAGCGCGTGCGCTAGCTGGAGAGAGCGGAAAGCAAGTAATTTCCCCCCTGGGGAGATGCCCAGGCAGCAATCCCTTCGCCATCCTTCTCTGGGATTTTGGGCATGCACCCACGCGCGCACCAGGAGTGGCTTTTTCTGACTTTTTCTTAATTGTATTTAACTTTATTTATTCATTTATTTTAATTTGACCAGAGAAGGACAGAGCAAGTGAACGAGAGAAAGAGTGAGAAAGCAAGCTAGAAGGTCCAGGACTCGAACCATAGTCAGCCATGTGGGAGTCCAACGTCCTTGACCACCATGCCCCCTGCCGGCCCCGCCAGGAGTGAGTTTTAAGCTGCGGGTCCAGGACTCTAACCCAGGGTCAACTAGGTGGGAGTCCAGCCACGTAACCATGACGTCATCTGCCGGGCCCAAGCACTTCCCGAGCGTCCCATCGCTTTCCTGTTCCCACGGCCCCGTTAACACGCACAGGTCTCCGCGGGAGCGCGCCCCAGGCGCTGCCCGGCCCTCCGCCCGAACTCCCGACAACGCGGCCCCTAAAGGGAGGTGCCCTCGGGACACTCACGTGACAGGGCCAGCCCCGGCGACCCCGGCAGGTGCAGCCACGTGACGGGGCCCCGCAGGCCGCGCGGCGGGCGGCCATTTTGCGGGGCGGCCACGTGAGGACGCACGTTCAGCGGGGCGCTCACGTGACCCGGGCGCGCTGCGGCCGCCCGCGCGGACCCGGCGAGAGGCGGCGGGGGGGGGGGGCGGCCCGGGCGGTGCGATCTCCCAGCCCTCGGGGGCAGAAACTCCCGGATCGGGCGCTGCCAGCCTCCAGCCCCTTCCCTGTTTGGAGGTTCCCGGCTCTCTGGCCCCTGCGCCCCGTTCCCCTCCCGCCTGGCGTTCAGGGGCCCCCGGGAGCCGGGGACGTGGGGCTCCCGGATGGCGAGCCCCCGGGCAGGTCCGGGCTTGTTGCCGGCACCACTTCCTGCCTCTGGCCCCGGTGGGAGGGGCGGGGCTCGCCCGCGCCCCCCCGGCCGGGGG